CACCACTGAGGGCTGCTCACCTCTCCCCATATTGTGCTGTCCAGTGCAGCAGTCTGGGGACTGACCTTGTCTGTGAAGACCGAGGCAAACAAAAAAAACATTGAGTACTTCAGCTTTTTCCACATTATCTGTCACTATATTGCCTCCCCCATTCAGTAAGGGTCCCACACTTTCCCTTACCTTCTTCTTCTTGCTAACATACCTGTAGAAACCCTTCTTGTTACCCTTCACATCCCTTGCTAGCTGCAACTCCAATTGTATCTTGGTCCTCCTGCACCCCAAACTCCTCATTCCCAGCCTCACCCCAGAGACTTTACCCCCAGCCAGAGTTCTCAGCCCCCCCAGCCTGGAACCCCCTCCTGTACCCCCAACCACTCTTCCCTGGCCCCACCCCAGAGCCCACACCCCCAGCTGGAGCCCTCACCCCCTCCTGCATCCCAACTCCCTGCCCCAGCCTGGTGAAAATGAGCAAATTAGTGAGGGTGGGGGAGAGCGAGTGACAGAGAGGGAGGGATGGAGTAAATGAGAGGCGGGGCCTTGGAGACGGGGAGGGAGAGGGGCAGGGCCTCAGGGCAGGGGCAGGGCAGGGGGTGGAGCTAGGGTGTTTGGTTTTGTGCTATTAGAACATTGGCAGCCCTAACTACATACTATGGGTACCATTCTAAGGAGCCTCACAGATTCCTTAAAATAGTTATACCAGCAAACCCTTCCCAGTGTAGACAAGGCCTTAGTTCCAATCAGTTAGATTTGGGCAAAACTTTTGAAGACAATGGAGTTGCTTCGGTGTCACTGAGGTAATTCAGATTTATACCAGTGTAAATAAGATCAGGAGTATTTCTAGTAAAAGCCCTGACACTCAATTTTTTTCATTCAGGACTCATCCTCTGATATTGCTTAGGGGCCTGGGTCTGAGTGGTTTTTCATTCTCCCAGCACTGCATGTTTTGAGGATGAGACAGGTCTTTCCCTGTGCGCCCTTGTTAGTTTGGGCTCTGGTTATACAGGTCTCTCCCATCCAGTCCTCATTGTTCAGTGGTGGAGCACAAAGATTTCTACTAGGCATCTGGAAGACATCTTACCTCTAGTTGTCTTCTATGGGGAAAGAAGACCTTAAAACTCTTCTCTGCTTGTATTTTCAGGAGATGACTGCTTGCCCATTCCAAAGTTTGCAGCTTCTGGTCTTCTGCGCTACCCATACCATGTGTTTTTGTGAGGAACATCTGCTAGGCCACCACCCCTTCAAACCCTCCTGCCTGCACCCCTCTTTCTATAGGAACATAGCTAGAAACACTCCCAGGTCCTGCTACTGCTGCATATGTGTCCTGTATCATTCAGGGAATGTCTACACTGCATTGAGGAGATAAAAGCTAGCTTGAGTAACAATAGCAGTCTCATCACTGCATTGGGGAGCTCTAATATGGACAGCGCAGTACAGAAAGAGCAAGTTGAAGGTGAAGATTGGAGAATACCAGCAGACAATAGAGCTGGTTGACTTTTTTCAAAGTTTTGACAAAAATGCTGTCAAGGCTGATTCCACACTCTGGGCTTCGAGTGCAGAAGGTGGGGGCCCACTAGGATTTTAAAAGTTAATACTGGCTTGTATTAAACTCCCAAGGTTACAGCTTCTCTCTCACCTTGGTTTGGTAAATGCTTCCACCACTCTAATGCAAAACCCCTTTTGGAACCCAGGAAGATGCACTTGGGAATTCTTTCCTGTGGGGTACCCTCAAGCCCTTTCACCCCCTCCCCCGTCCGGGGAGGGGCTGAGAAAGAAAACTAAGGGTACGTCTATACCCAGCCGCTAGTTCGGCGGCTGGCAATCGAACTTCTGGGTTCGACTTATCGCGTCTTGTCTGGACGCGATAAGTCGAACCCGGAAACGCTCGCCGTTGACTGCGGTACTCCAGCTCGGCGAGACGAGTACCGCGGAGTCGACGGGGGAGCCTGCCTGCCGCGTATGGACCGAGGTAAGTTCGAACTAAGGTACTTCGAACTTCAGCTACATTATTCACGTAGCTGAAGTTGCGTACCTTAGTTCGATTTGGGGGTTTAGTGTAGACCAAGCCAAAGGAAATTAGCTGTTGCCACCGGCTAATTAAACAACATATGCACAAACCTCTTAGGACACCAAGAATCTGTGAAAGTGAAATGAATTGTATTAAAGAAATAGAATGAATTAAAGAATGCTGTATGTACCTTTAAGTAGAAAT